TAATATTTTTTCCAATTCCTTCACTCAATACCAAATTCAGTACAATTTAGTACTTTTCGTACAATTATAGTACACATGTCCAAAACCATCGCCATATCTCAATTTCATGTGCCAACAGAGAGCTCAATATCAATATAGAGATTCCAGACCTATCCTTCACCCAATACCAAGTAATAGTACTTTTTGTCCAAATATAGGGCGCATTTCCAGAACCAACGCCAAATCTCAAATCACAGCTACCATCAATAACCTAAATATTAAATTGCATAAATTTGTTTCCAATTCTTTCACCCAATATCAAATCTAGTACCACTTAGTACTTTTCGTATAATTATAGTAGACATGTCCAAAACCATCGCCATTTCTCAATTCCATATACCGACAGAGATCTCAATATCAAATTTGAGAATCCCAGCCATATCTCTTCAACCAATACCTAATTTAGTACTATTCGAACAAATATGGGACACATTTCCACACCACCGCTAGATCTCAAGCAAAAATATATATCTAACCCTTCACCCAATACACAATATAGTAACATTCAGCACTTTTTTTACAATTAAAGTACACATTTCCGCAATCACTGTCATATGTCCAGGCTACGCTTGAACAACGACCTTAATGCTAAATTTCAGATTTATCCGTTCACAAAATACCAAATGGTACCATTTTCGAAATTTTGTAAAATTTTAAATTTAAAGTTGGAATAATCCAAAACTCCTTTGGTGCATGTATCAGTGTCACTCATTCGAAATTTCAGGATCCCACCTCCATCGACTCATCACAATTCCAAATTTTCTGTAATAATTTTAGTACCTTTAGTACACATAAGTACGAATCTCCAAAGTTTCCTACATACTCCAATCCTACACTCCCACAGCAATCCCAAGTCAAAATTTTAGACTCCATTCCTATTGGTTTGCCCGAATACAAATTGTACTTTATTTAGTACATTTTAGTACATATAAGTAGAAATTTCCAAAACTACCTACACTTTCCAATCCTACACTCCGACAGAAGTGGTTCACGCAAATTCAAATTGTACCAAATTTTGTACACTTACGTTCAAATTTTCATAACTACTTACATCTTATTTTCAAATTTCAGAATTCCAACTTTATAGGTTATCCCAAAATTTAAATTGTACCAAATTTAGTACCACTTAGTACACATTAGTACGAATTTCCTAAACAACCTAAATTTCAGAATTCCAGCTCTACGGTTCACCCAAATCGAAATTGTACCAAATTTAGCACCATTCAATACTTTTTGTGCACATAAGTACAAGTATAAAGTTCCTAAACAACCTCAGTTCTAGAATCTTGTTTCTAATTTTTAGAATTCCAGCTCTATCGGTTCACCCAAATCGAAATCGTACCAAATTTAGTTCCATTTAGTATTTTTGTGCACAAATTTCGAAAACTTCTCCATATCCCAATCCTGTACTCCGTCAGCAATGTTAACTTCAAATTTCAGGATTCCAGCTCCATCCGTTCCTGCAAATTCAAATTGTACCAAATTTAGTACCGTTCAGTACTTTTCGTATACAAGAGCATACACTTTCAAAACTACCTCCTTAAATCAACTCTATTCCTCAACCTTGATTCTCCTTCCAAATGTCAAATTCCTTTCACATGATACGAAATGGTACCAAATGTAGTACACTTTAGTATTTTTCGTACACTTATAATAGGGATTTCCAAAAATCCTTTGGTACATCTATCATACGCTCCATCAGTGACCTCATCCCTAATTTAAGAGGTCTAGCTTTACTGTTTCCTCAAATACAAACGGTACCCAATTTAGTACAATTTAATACTTTTCGTACGGTTTTAGTACGAATTTCCAAAAACCCAGCCATATCTGACTCCTTCGGACCATGGGTGAACCTCACCCGAAATTTCTAGATTCTAGCTTCAGCCCTTTCGTTTGGGCGTTAATGAATCCCTAGAGCATTCAATGAGTCAATTACTTTACTCTGTTATTACCATAGATGTAAAAATTATGTGTCCTCCGTTTTGACGTTTTTGAGTCATGAGTCTCCCATAATACTTAATTTTATTTTATTCTAAAATTAATTTCATTATGAGTGTCTGATCATAAACCTTAAAAATGCCATCAATTTTGGTTTATAAAAAATCCGTATTTTTAATTTGTGACATACCACCCTTTCAATATTTGGTTACATCAGTTTTGGAATTTGGCCTTGTAACCATTAGGTTCACGAAAATAATTACTGGGCGCCATTTGTTTTTTTTTTTTTTTTTTTTTCAAATGAAACATGAATATGAGACAATTTATGACAACTTTACGGCCTTACAGCGCAAAAGAAAGGAAGTGTCACAAACTTCATGTGTGTTGGCCCAAAAGAATGTGCAAAAGAATACCACAAGTGCCAGTTGACCAAGGTTAACATGGTTCGCGCTGGTTTCAGCCACTTTATGTTATTTCAAAAGTATTTTAAGGCCACAACAGGAAGTTAATACAAATACAAAGTTATTTTTGTCGTCTTGGTTTTGTGTCTTTAGCAGCCTTTAAATTCCTGGCATTTGTGTTGGCCATAACTTCAACCTGTTGGCCTTTACCGCCGCCCTGCCCCTAGAGAGTTAGACATTTCGAAATGCCACGACTGATGTGTCTGTTGTGTGGCATGTTGCAAAAAAATGCCAAACAACACGAATCCATAGTTACCCAAACTGATGGGGGGGTTTAACATAGATATTTATAATAAGCTTAATTTGCTATTTGTTCCTTCCATTTATCTCTCTGTCTCTCTATCTCCACTTCTCCTCTCCCATGTATGCCAAATTGCATGTTTCTGCCACTAAATGAAGTGAAAAGTTATAATTAAGGATTTTTTTTTTCGCTGTTGAGTTCCGCTGAAACGGAAAACTTTTCAAATACAGCAATTTTAGGATTTATTGATATTTTTTCTTTTTTGGTTTAGTTCTTTTTTTCTAATTTCGTTTTTTTTTTTTTCATTGCATGTGTGTGGAATATTTTTTATCTATTTTGGTGGCAACTAAAAACGAAGTCAGAACTTTGTTTCGAATTTTTGCACAAATTTTAAAGGTTAATTAATTAAAATTAGGACATTAAATGCCAGGGAGGAAATGGTCAAGGCCAGTTTACACATTGTGTAAGGATCATGTGTAAATTGACTGTTTCCCCTATTTATTTGTAGCATACTTTTAGGTGCTCGCCACAATGTTCATATTCAATTTACTTAGCTGGGATTAAATAGTATTATCTACAACTTACAAAAAATCTCAAATCTATCGTACCTCAATCTCAATCTCAAATCTATGAACCGTCTTTGGCCCTATGGGCTAGGTAATAGTTTATACTGAAAACAAGTGGAAAGCAGTAAGGCAGAGACGAACTTTAAATGCCCTCCACCATTGGTAACGAATTCGGAATTTTTGAAAAAAAAAAAATCCCTTAAAAATCTGTAAAAATCTTAAAAAAAATACCGAATATAGCCGTTATATTGGAGGTGGCGATATATTTGGGGCTATACGAAGATCTGGACCTGCATAGACAATTTTCAGTCACAGGCTTTAGTACTCATTAGGAACTTCAAATACGAAATTTGAAACAATTCCGGTAAAAAATATCGCTAAAATCATCAAAATACCGAATATCGGGTGGTATCGTTATGTGGGGGCTATACGAAGACGTGAACCTTCATGGCCCATTTTCTGTTTTATGCTGTAGTATCTATTACGAACTTCAAGCACCAAATTTGAAACAATTCCGGTAAAAAATGTCGCTAAAATCATCAAAATACCGAATATTGGGAGGTACCGATACATGGGGCCTATACGAACTTTGAATGTCCTCCACCATTTGGAACGAATTCGGAAATTTTCCAAAAAAAATAAATCCGGTAAAAATTCTGTAAATTCCTAAAAATGCCGAATATAGCCATTATAATGGAGGCTATACGAAGACGTGGACCTGTATAGGCAACTTTTGTCATAGGCCATTACAATAACCCAATACAAATATACGAAATCATCAAAATACCGCATATAGGGAGGTAGGGAGGTACCGTTATATGGGGTCTATACGAAGACCTGAACCTGCATAGCCAATTTTCTGTCACAGGCTATAGTACCCATTAGGAACTTCAAATACGAAATAATTCCGGTGAATAATGTCGCTAAAATCATCAAAATACCGAATATAGGGAGGTACCGTTATATGGGGTCTATACGAAGACCTGGACGTGCATAGACAATTTTCTGTCACAGGCTATAGTACCCATTAGCAACTTCAAATACGAAATTTGAAATAATTGCGGTTAATAATCATATAAATTTCGAATATCGGGGGTACCGTTGTATGGGGGTTATACGATATCGTGGACCTATATGGGCAACACTTCTCCTGGGGTTAAAGTACTCAGAAGAAACTGCTTGTGTGGATTTTCAGACAATTCCATTGAAAAACATTGCTAAAATCAATACCGAATATCGGGTGGTACCGTTGTATGGGGGCTATACGATATCGTGAACTTATATAGACAATACTCATCCAGCGGGTAAAGTACTTGGAAGGTACTCCTTGTGTGGATTTTCACACAATTTCATTGAAAATTTTGGCTACAATCATCAAAATACCGAATATCGGGGGTAACATTATATGAGGACTATATGATATCGTGGACCGATATAGCCAATCTTCGAACTTGACCTGCCTGACATCTAGAAAAAAGACAGATCTATGCAAAATTTTAGCTTCCTATCTTAATTCGTTTTGACTCTAGCGTGATTACAACAGACGGACGGACGGAAGGAAGGGGCAAAATCGTCATAGAATTTTAGGGCTGGTATACTATAGGTCTAAGTTACAAACAACCAAATGAGGAACTTAATATACGCTCCATACTATATATGGTGGAGGGTATAAAAAATAAAATTAAAAATTTAAAAAATTTCATTACAACTAATCGTTTTCTTTTTCTCTCTCTCTCTCTCTCTCTCTCGTTGCAGATATAATTATCATAAAAACACACTCACTCGTAATTTGTAAATAACCAAGAGACAAAGACGTCGTTAAACACACAAACGCATTTTTTCCACCCAATCCAAATTATGGTAAATAGAGAACAATTACCACCACCAACAACAAAGCGACGAAATATTTCAACCAACAACAACAACACATCATCAACATCGACAATTGTTCCGAGTCGAAACCAGACCACCTCCGCAAAAATGTCTACCCGCCAAAATTATGTGTTCTTAGGTTTAGCCGTATTGTTAGCAATTGTAGCCACGGTCCAATCGGGACCCGTCTCAACGACCACACAAGCTGAGGTGAGTACAAGCGGGAGATAATTTAATTTTAAGTTGTATCCTAGAATTTAAATTAAAATGTTAGATAAATTCGGAATTTTTGATAAATATACATTTTCTGGGAAAACTCTCTTGCCTTGAGAAATAGTCAAGAAGTTGAAACTCCTATTTGTCGTATCGCAGTTCTTGGGAAATAACAAAATTGTCTAGATAAAACCAGTAAGGAAAGGTCAAAAGTCGGGTGGGTCCGACTATATGATGCCCTACACCACTACGCGTGTTCAGTAGAGCTCCCGTAACAACAAAGTTTGTAATGGCAACTTAGGTGAAGTAGATCGATCATACCACCTATGAACCTCATTTGAATGCATATCATGGATTTGGAATATTCACCATTTCGGAACTATATCCAACTCTGAATCGATTTTTAACAATTTTCACGGAAGCTTTTGTACCTCTAGTACCAATTAACTATGCTGTATAGTGCATGATATAACTTCGATAATGACTACCGGACCGGGTTTCACCAAATAGTAAAATTCGATTGCATATGAAAAAAACTAATTTGGGCTGATATTACATATATGGTGAGCAATAACCGTAAAATCGGATGAGGATGTGTATCGCAGCTATATAAAAATATGAACTGATCTCTATAAAATTTGGCAGAGGTATTTTCGAGCAGTATCTGGTGTCCGGTATCAAATATCATTGCTGTGAAGTGAAAATTACGCATGTGAGGGACTTTAACACCAAATCGGATGAAACATATATATATATGGGAGCTATAGCTATATCTTAACCGATTTACACTTACATTTGAAGCACTTGATTTAAGGCTGAATTCGGTTGAAAATGCCAAAATTCTGTCCATTTGGGCCAATATTAGCCATTTGGTGCACCACAAAACCTGATATCGGTTAAAGATATATTCGGCATCTGTATCCAAATCTGAACCGATCTTGACCTCTGAAGAGGTAATCTATAGAATAGAACACCTCTGATAAGGTCCTCTATAGAATAGAAGAGGTTCACTATAGAATAGAAGACCTCTGAAGAGGTCCTCTATAGAATAGAAGACCTCTGAAGGGTTCCTCTATAGAATAGAAGACCTCTGAAGGGTTCCTCTATAGAATATAAGACCTCTGAAGAAGTCCTCTATAGAATAGAAGACCTCTGATGAGGTCCTCTATAGAATAGAAGACCTCTGAAGAGGTCCTCTAAAGAATAGAAGACCACTGAAGAGGTCCTCTATAGAATAGGAGACCTCTGATGAGGTCCTCTATAGAATAGGAGACCTCTAAAGAGGTTCTCTATAGAATAGAAGACCTCTGAAGAGGTCCTCTATAGAATAGAAGACCTCTGAAGAGGTCCTCTATAGAATAGAAGACCTCTGAAGAGGTCCTCTATAGAATAGAAGACCTCTGAAGAGGTCCTCTATAGAATAGAAGACCTCTGAAGAGGTCCTCTATAGAATAGAAGACCTCTGAAGAGGTTCTCTATAGAATAGAAGACCTCTGAAGAGGTCCTCTATAAAATAGAAGACCTCTGAAGAGGTCCTCTATAGAATAGAAGACCTCTGAAGAGGTCCTCTATAGAATAGAAGACCTCTGAAGAGTTCCTCTATAGAATAGAAGACCTCTAAAGAGGTCCTCTATGGAGTATAAGACCTCTGAAGAGGTCCTCTATGGAGTAGAAGACCTCTGAAGAGGTCCTCTATGGAGTAGAAGACCTCTGAAGAGGTCCTCTATGGAGTAGAAGACGTCTTCTATGGAGGAGAAAACCTCTGAAGAGGTCTTCTATGCAGGAGAAAACCTCTGAAGAAGTCCTCTATGGAGTAGAAGACCTCTGAAGAGGTCCTCTATTAATACAGAATTTTTTTTACGATCTTCGTAATATTTTCCCTTTAGAAAATGTTACGATCATCGTTATATTTTCCATATAAGCAACATAAATTTCAAAAGAAATGTTTTAGTAGAAAAACCTAAAAATGGGGTTCCCAAATTATAAGTAAAAATTCCGACCTTTTTATTTATCAATATTTTTATTTATTTATTTTTTGTTTCGAATTTCCCAACAACCAAGCAACAATTGTCATCATTAGCAAATAATTGTAGAATTAACCATCATTCTAAGGTCAATTTTTGTGTAGAACACTAGGCAAACAAAGTCAACCATTTTTTTTTTTGTACTTTCCTTCTCACTTTGTTGTTTATTCAAATGAAGTAGGAGTGTTGTTGTTATACAGACAACAACATCAACAACAAAAGATAATTTTTAAAAATTATTGTTCTTTTGTTTGCTTTGCAATGTGACGTTCGATTACAAAGGGGACACGTGATTTCCAAATACGATATTTGCCAGTAATGGCCAGCTATTGTCCAGCCACGACAAAGGCAGGGGAGTGTTTGGAGAAGTATATCTGCCTCTTCGTGGCATTACCAAATAAAGCCACTGTCGGCCAACCGGAGGAGTTTAAGCCTTTTTTTCCACAGCAAACAATTCAGTTGGTATGTGAGAACAGGTTGATGATGGTTTTTGGGGCCGCACTGGGTATAGACACATTTGTCTGTCTGTCTCTCTGTCCGACGTCGTCTGTCCGCCGGACAACACTGGCTGTCTGTGTGTACATATAGAGATATTAAAACATAAGAACGTGACAACCTTGCATCGATTAACATACGATCAAGCCAACAACAATAGCATTAAGCAATGGATCTAGCCATCAATCGATCGATCGATCAATCGATGGATGGATGATCCTCCTCTGGCAGGCCTTAACAACAGAAAATTCTCTACGAAGCAGCAGCTATAAAAGTAAAGGCGCGATGAAAACGACAATTATGATTAGAATCAAAAAAACGATAATTGACGGAATTAAATGCAGCGAAATAGCAATCAAATGCGAACAAACAATTGATTATTGTGAGCACGATTTTGGAAAATTTCTAAGCCAATGCAGGCAAACCATAAATGATGATAGAAGGAGGAATTTCCATTCTTATCTTCTGTGATAAGATTTAAAACAAAAGGGAAGGGACATAGATTAGAAAACAAAAGGTTCTCCCAATCCCGACTTTCCAATTATTAAAGCCACTAATATTCAAAACAATAATTTTTAACCATTGAAACTCCCATTCGATTTTTATGGCCATCCAACGAAATATTTTTTTCCATAATTATTTCAAGCCCCACAGTCAGACGTGCATCCAACCACGACCATTGGGGACTGGCTATTATTATGGAAGTTTTTTTTTTTTAATAATTCTGAAAATAAAAAAAAAATATATTTTTTATCAGCTCGCCTGTATCCAACAAATGTTAAGGCTAAGGTCACAACTCGCCGTGTGTGTGTAAATAATTAAGCAAAACTCAGAGAGTGGGAGGGGACGGCAGTAAAACAAACGGTTAGATTTTCTAATGGTTATCACAAATTGTTAACAGAATCTGCCAATAGCACCCGCACATGAACTGTGTGCACAATAAAACATGCAATTTTTGTGTAAATTATCCGCAAGCCATTGTTTGGAATCTGCAAAAAAAACTGCGCATGACGAAAAAGGGACAGAATAGACTGGCCAAGGGGAAATCTTGTCGATCTAACGTAGGGGTTAAAATTTTTAGTTTACAATACCAGATATTACGTGGTAGCAATGTCACATAGCTGACTGACCATTCATGGATGGACACACAAAAAATTATACGAATGAAGGGTATAATATTGGAACACGCAATGGAGAGTGTTACTAAATGCAGTGGATAACATATATGCAAACTAAGAGTTCCCAGAAGACAGCTATCGGACAGGAGACGCACAGAAGAGAAAGTCCTAAAATGAAAGTAGGACCAAACGGAAGAGACATTCTTTAGAAAATAAGATATCTGACGAATTCGTTTTTAGAACGGAAAAAACCTGGAGATGGTTGTCTTAATACTTGAAGACTTCAGAAGAGGTCCTCTACAAGCAAGAAGTCCACTAAGGAAGCCTTCTAGAGAATATAACTTATTTGAAGAATTTTTATTTACAAAAGTAAATTTCAGAAGAAGCCGTATTTAGAACAGATAATCTCAGCAAAGTCCTATATGGAATATAAAACCTTTGGGGAGGCTATCAATAAAAAAGACCGTTGATTGAGATGCTCTATTTAATGGAAGACTTCTGATGAAGTCCTCATCGGAAGAGGTCGAGTTTTAAGCGGAATACTTCCAAAGAGGTTCTCTAGAGAATAGAAAACAGATGAAAAGTTTATCCATAGAATAGAAGACCTCTGAAGATGTTGCTCTTAGAAAATATAGAATAGAAGACCTCTGAAGATGTTGCTCTTAGAAAATATAGAATAGAAGACCTCTGAAGAGGTCCTCTATGGAGTAGAAGACCTCTGAAGAGGTCCTCCATAGAATAGAAGACCTCTGAAGAGGTCCTCCATAGAATAGATGACCTCTGAAGAGGTCCTCCATAGAATAGATGACCTCTGAAGAGGTCCTCCATAGAATAGATGACCTCTGAAGAGGTCCTCCATAGAATAGATGACCTCTGAAGAGGTCCTCTATAGAATAGAAGACCTCTGAAGAGGTCCTCTATAGAATAGAAGACCTCTGAAGAGGTCCTCTATAGAATAGAAGACCTCTGAAGAGGTCTTCTATAGAATAGAAGACCTCTGAAGAGGTCCTCTATAGAATAGAAGACCTCTGAAGAGGTCCTCTATAGAATAGAAGACCTCTGAAGAGGTCCTCTATAGAATAGAAGAGCTCTGATGAGGTCCTCTATAGAATAGAAGACCTCTGAAGAGGTACTCTATGGAGTAGAAGACCTCTGAAGAGGTCCTCTATGGAGTAGAAGACCTCTGAAGAGGTCCTCTGTAGAATAGAAGACCTCTGATGAGGTCCTCTATAGAATAGAAGACCTCTGAAGAGGTCCTCCATAGAATAGAAGACCTCTGAAGAGGTCCTCTATAGAATAGAAGACCTCTGAAGAGGTCCTCTATAGAATAGAAGACCTCTGAAGAGGTCCTCTATAGAAT